TATGATGGATTGCCAGGTATCATTTGCATAGCAGATGACATTGTTGTCTACGGTCAGGACGACAAGACACATGACCAGAATTTAATTCAAATGATGGAACGCACCAAGGAGCGAGGACTGTCACTGAACTCTGACAAATGCCACATCAGGCAATCCAGCATCGGTTTCTATGGACACATTCTAACCAGTGAAGGGATTAAGCCAGACCCATCAAAGGTTTCTGCTATCAAGGACATGAAAGCTCCACAGAACATTACACAGTTACAATCTTTCCTCTCATCAGTGAAATATCTGGGCTCGTTCACCCCAGACCTCTCAAACCTCTGCGCACCGCTCAACAAACTCACTCGAAAGGACACAGACTTCCAGTGGGGACCTGAGCAACAAACAGCCTTCGAAACCATCAAAGAGTCAATTGCCTCAATCACAGTACTTGCRTACTTTGATTCAAAGAAACCAGTGAGAATTCAATGTGATGCATCYATGGAAGGTCTTGGTGCTGTCCTGTACCAGAACGACAAACCAGTTGTAGTTGCAAGCAAGACATTGACAAGCACTGAACAGAACTATTCAAACATCGAAAGAGAAATGCTTGCTATTGTCTTCTCACTAACACGGTTCCACCACTACACATACGGACGTCATGTGACAGTTGAATCTGATCACAAACCCCTCGAATCTATTACAAAGAAGYCAGTCTCATCAGCCAGCCCACGAATCAAACGTATGTTATTAAAGACTCAACCCTACGACTACACAGTCAACTATGTTCCTKGCAAGAAAATACCTGTCCCAGACATGCTCTCCAGATCACCACTCCCAGGGCCAGAAATACCTAATCTCGATGTGAGCATCGGATCACTTGCTCACATGACAACTAGTCGTCTGGAGAAGGTCAAAGCGGCAACGCTTCTTGACCCATTACTTCAAAAGCTCACTCGTCAGGTCATGATTGGTTGGCCCGAGCACCGACAAAATTGTGAATCTAGCCTTCACCAATTTTGGAACTTTCGTGATGAAATTTCAATAATTGATGGCATTCTCATGAAAGGTGATCGTATAATCATACCTGAAACATGTCAAGAAGAAATTCTTCGTCAGATTCACACTGGACATCAAGGCATTGAGAAATGCAGGCTCCGTGCCAGACGAGCCGTCTACTGGTGTAAAATCGACAAAGATATTGAGGATATCGTCAAGAGATGCCCTACATGCCAACACCACCAAGTCTCCAACTCGAAAGAGACTATCATTCAACAAGAAGCTCTCAGACCATGGGAAGTTGTTTCAACAGACTTGTTCTACTGGAACAATGCAAATTACTTGTTAACCATTGACAACTTCTCTTCATATTTTGTTCTGAGAAAATTATCATCAACTCGCTCATCAGATGTGATCAACAAGCTCAAAGTTATATTCTCAGAGTTTGGCATACCACGCAAGGTTATAAGCGACAATGGACCACAATACTCTTCGCAAGAGTTTGCTAACTTCAGTACCGAATA